CACAGAGCTGAAAGTTTACATTTGTACTTCTACAGGTTTCTAGTATACAATTACCTATGTGGGGACAGCATAGCATCACTTTGGCAAATGCACGAGAATTTCCATTTTCTTGATTTCTAACGGAGGAAAAATACGGCAACGGCGTATACGGATGTCTTATGTAGACAGTGTTTACGTGGGCAAGTTAGAATTTTTGTAGAATTTTTATGAACAAAGTTACAATTTTTATCGATTTTTCGGGCAGTTGAATCTTTTTAGCTTTTGGTTGAAACTCCAGATGGATCAGAGCTGTCGCTAAAGTAGGATTGATCTTGTAGAGCTTGCTTTGCTCTATCGAATGGTACTCTGCGTACTATCTAGAAATGAGAAGTGTATGACTTATTGCGGTTGAAATTCAAAACGGACATTAATTTCCGGACAGCCTAATACTATATTCCTATATAATCTAACATATTTATAACCCTTCATACATAACATAATTAGATCCTTGAGACTATTTCTTGCCACATTATGTGGGAGGCTAGTGAAGAGGCTAGAGAAATCTGCAGAATAAATTTCCAGTTTTCTATTACTTCCACAAAGGTCATTAACTACTTGCCTACTGTTTTCCATAGCCTAAAAATATTTAGTATTAGTTTTAAGGCTAATGACTTTGCAGTAGTTATGAAAATGTCTACGAAATGACAATATTACTTGTAAAGTATTGACAAGGGGTTTCAAAGTACTTTTTCTTGCACCGATTATATATTAGGTTGATGCAAAAATAATGAGCGTTTTTATTTGCTTGCTTTAACAAAGCAACCAGACTCAACCCAATAAAGGGTAAGGGGTACGTTCGATAGAGCAAAGCAAGCTCTACAAGATGGCACTCATGTCTTTGCGCCATGCTCGATCCACGGAGAGTTCGAACTCAAAATCTAAAGATTTCCAAATGCCCAAAAAATCGAAAAAAATCAGATTTTCGTCCAAATAATTTCTACGGACCTCCCACTCGCTCACATCAATACTATCGATACTTGATATCCATATGTGCGATTGCCGTATTTTTTCCTCAACTAGAAACTGAGAAAACAAAAATTTCCCTGATTTTCTCAAAGCAATGCTGAGCCGTTTTTGCATATGTAGTTCTATACTACAAGCCTAGGTAAGCATAACTATTGATTTTCAGCCCATTCCAAGCGGTAGTTTCCGAGAAATGTCGATTTTAGCACTGAAACTGAAACGAAAAAATCCGATTTCGTTATTTTTTGAAAACTACCGCTTGGAATGGGCTGAAAATCTACAGTTATGCTTACCTAGGCTTGTAGTATAGAACTACATATGCAAAACCGGCTCAGCATTGCTTTTAGAAAATCAGGGAAATTTTCGTTTTCTCAGTTTCTAGTCAAGGAAAAAATACGGCAATTGCACATATGGATATGAGATATCGATGGTATTGATGTGAGCGAGTGGGAGGTCCGTAGAAATTTTTTGGACGAAGATCTGATTTTTTCAATTTTTTGGGCATTTGGAAATCTTTAGATTTTGAGTTCGAACTCTCCGTGGATCGAGCATGGCGCGCGCAAAAATATGAGTGCCGTCTTGTAGAGCTTGCTTTGCTCTATCGAACAGTACCCCTAACCCTTTATTGGGTTGAGTCTGGTTGCTTTGTTAAAGCAAGCAAATAAAAACGCTCATTATTTTTGCATCAACCTAATATTAGGTTGTCCCAAAAGTTCTTGCCCCGGATTTTCAAAAAATCATAACCTTCTTGCCACTCGATGGATTTTCTCATTTTAACTTCGTTTGAAAGAGGAAACCTTTCTCTTTACAACAGTACCTTTGTCATGAATTGGCATTAGAAAGTTCCAGAGCTAGAGGCAATTGAATGTAAACAATCAAGATCGGCATTTTTCAAGCTGGATTGCGAAAAATTCTGGAAGTTTTTTTATTTGATAGAGAAAATTGTGCAGATTACAGTGGTACCTTTCCCATGAACTGAAACGAAAAGGATCGAAAGCTAGAAGCAAATAAAGAAAATTCCTTTAGTTTTGCAATTATTGAGCATGCTCAAGAAACCCTAGCAATGTCACAGAAAATGCGGTAAAGCCATAAACATGGGTTTTGTGACATTTTCTTTCTAGCTCAGCAAGTTTCGAGCTAATCGAGAGCAATTTTAATTTTTATGACTTTTTCGGATTTTCAGGAGTGCATTTTTACGAAAATCAAAAATGCTCTCAATTAGCGCGAAACTTAGCTAGAAAGAGAAGGTCACAAAACCTATTTCCATTAGTTTATCGCATTTTCTGTGACTTTCTAGGCTTTTTGAGTATGCTCAAAAATTGCAAAACTAAAGGAATTTTCTTTATTTGCTTCTAGCTCTCAATCCTTTTCGTTTCAGTTCATGGAAAAGGTACCAGTGTAATGTGCACACTTTTCTATAACAAATAAAAATACTTCCAAAATTTTTCGCGATCCGGCTTGAAAAATGCCGATCTTGATTGATTTCATTTAATTGCCTTTAGCTCTGGAACTTTCTAATGCCAATTCATGACAAACATATTGTTGTAAAGAGAAGGTTCCCCTTTCAAACGAAGTTAAAATCGAGAAAATCCATCGAGTGGCAAGAAGGTTATGATTTTTTGAAAATCCGGCGCAGGAGCTTTTGGGACAACCTAATATCTGGATTTAATAGGGTCTTTATGCATTTTTGGAATCTCATAAATTCTTGGTATTTCTGTATACTCCTCCCTACTAATTATATTCATTTATTCAACTTGTGTTTATGAATATCTTTTACTTGCTCCTTACATAAGTCAGTGAGAAAGTACGTATGGCCGTTTGTGCTCGTTTGTTGCATCTCATTTTTTAACATCTCCACATACAATTTTTTACAGGCACAAAAAAAATTCGAAGTGGCTTTGTCTATGGGTGTGATCACAAAGAATTTTTGAATGTATTTTAGGCTACTAGAACTATATTTATCACTTCTTTCAAATCGTAATTGCCTAAATCAAATAGTTTGGGTTTTATGCATTTTATTACATGTCTCTTGTTTTCTGTTTCCAAGGTATCTCTCATCTGTATGTTTGCTTTAGTTAACTTCAGTACCTTACTAACCATTCCCTTAACTAGTTTAACAACGTTTCCTAATATATCCTCTTTCAATATTTTATGATGAATGCGGTACTTTGTACCCTTCCTAAGTGAATTTTCTAATCTAATATCTCGGATTATGTCGAGATTCCCCGTGCATATTTGCTTCATACATGTTGAGTTAAGAATGTGTTCTACGTTATTGTTATCTAATGTTTTAGAAAAACTATTATAATTACAAACTCGTACACCAAGTGGTTGTTTATGTACAGCTTATGTACACCACAGCAGAAAAAGCTTTATGCACGCGACAAACCTTGTTGCTTCGAAAATAGATGTCCTTCAAAGCTTATCCTTGTTTGAGGAGGTGGTTCGGCAGATCGGGGACTTTGAAGTTTTGTCGTTCTCGACTCCCTAGATGAGCTAAGTCAAAGTCTGTGCATTGTAGCTTCAGAGATATCAATAAACTTTTCCTGAAGTAAAAAGTCTGTTAGGACCTTGAGCGAAAGCCCACTCTCTAGAGAGTGATGGTCTCGCGGAGTTTGGAAGGGTGAAAATACCTTACTTCTCGGCGGCAATTGGATTATCGGCTCTCGCAGCCAACGTTCTAAATAGGTCCACCTTCCGCTCTCAGTCCAAAGAGCAGCTTCCATGTCAGAAAAAGCGAGTTATCAATACTTTTGAAAGCTGCAAAGCACAGTTTTAGATTCATCCAGTAAAGTCAAGAACGGAATACCCCAAAGTTGTCAACCTACCCAGCCACTGCCTTTCAGGGATACTACCGAGTTAGCAGCTAAGGTAGCAGCGCAATGTAAGCATGAAGTATTTTTTATATCTTTAGAAATCGACGACCGGGGATCGACGTATCAAAGCCATTTATTCTTTTCACTCGTAAACGTCATAACGATGTGCTGAGGATTTATCATGACAGTGCTGAGCACGTTTTCATTGAAACAAATGGAATGTGAAGGTTATCTTTTTTTTTTGTTGAACCACATTTGCGTGCAAAGATTCGTGAGAAATTTAATATTTTGAAACTTTAGTTCCAAAAACTTGCACAGCCGAATGTGGCGACTTTTTAATATAGTGAGGTTCCCATCTTATAGGCAATGGTGCTTCGCCATCTATCAAAGGAAAGCTTCACAAAATTGGGTGAGCAATGAGGACCTCGGCAGTTAAGGTCTGGCGAGTCCGTCGCAAAGAGTTTACAGAATTGAGGGAAAATATTTATGACTCCGACAACTTTTACGATTCTTGCATGTATTGTATTTAAAGAGCAGTCATTTTTGTGTCCAAAAAGCAAACGTTCGATATTTATTAAAAGGTAGCTGCCATATAGTCACGAAGACTTTCTTCATCGGGAAAAATTAGAAAAAGACGATTTGACCACATGGACAAAGTATTTCAGGACTACTATCCCGGCCTGCTGCTTCCTGAAAAAAAAATCTTAAGAATTCTGAGCGCTGCTTTCAAGATTTCTTAATCTGATTTTATTAAGAAAATGGCAAACGCTAACGCTAATATTTTCAATTCTATGAACAGAAGCTAGTAATGAATTCAGTTGAGGTGTTTGGACTCATGAGTAAGGATTCTATTTCGGCATCCCGCATGTGCAAAACTTTGCATGTGTGAAAGAAAAATCTCTGTTTAGTCCTACACATACACAAATCATAATTCAACATACCGCATGGTTTCTTATGTACAAAGATATTGACAGAAAATTTATGGCTTATATGACGTTTGATTTTCCTCGTTGCTCAAAGTAGAACGTACAATTATAACACATTGATTAATTCATATTTAGTTTTCCTCTCAAGCGCATCAACAAGACTGCAAACTACAAAGCTTGACACACACAGGCAAAGATCTTTTGGGATAATGCGGCTGCTATTTCTGAATTCTGAGATTTCGTCAACTAGACATTGCTACGATGATGAAGAATATCTTCTACCATGCTCTTGCCAATGATTCCCATTACAAAGTACACATTTTCTTAATCTCAATTCCGCCTCCTTATTACGAACATTTTCTAGTGACGATAGCCCAGACTGCGATGATCTTCGTTCTTCAGTAGCTTTTTTCGTTTCCATTGGTGAAACTTTATGGTCATCTTGCGCAGCATATTCTCCAGTTTCTTTTCCCACGCGCATCATACCATTTAAATTATCCTCTGCGACAAAAGTCTGAACTGAAAAGTTGTGATAGCAGGAATCTGAACTCGTCCTTACAGAGGACATCTTGTCTCTTTTCTCCTGTGGAGCACTCATCATCTGATTTTCCAAGCGCTCCACTCGATTTGCAATTTCATCCATAGCATCCATCAAACTCTATAATGAAAATATTACCAGAATCTTGTTCTACTTTGCCAGTGTACAGTTGCTATTTTCTTGCCATCAGCGAAGCATTGTCTCCCTTCTCGTCTGGACCATAAATTGCCATTTCTTTATCCATGTATTGCATTCTCGCAATCTTGTCTACGATAATCTGCAAAATCAAGACTCACCTTGTTGTTGTGCTCCTCTTCTCTACTTTCTCAAAACAAATTTACCCTCAAATCCCTCTCCATGCGCTCTACTCTATTGACAATCTCGTCCAGCACAACCTAGAATGGTAAAAGGTAAGATTCTGGTGTTCTGGTGGTTTCTCCTACCGAAAAAGAGGCTTTGTCTGCCTGCCTCAGATGAGCATCCCTCATATGACTTTCTATGCGCTCCATTCGATTTGCAATCTCGTAGAGCACATTCTGAAATGATAAAATAGAAGCTTGTTATCCGGCACTTTTGCTTTTGCCATCATGCAACATGTTCTCTCGTCTCTCTTGAAACGTCTCTCTGCACTTTGCTTTCCATCTGCTTCACTTGGTGTCCAAATTCATCTGTCATATCCTGAAAGGGCAATGTTATCAAAATGTTGCTGCTCCACTACTGTTAAAAACTTTTTCTTTCTTCTCTTGTAGAATATTTCTTAGGTTATCAAGATCTTGATCAAGATCTTGATGTCCTGCCATTCTTGTTCTTGCCATCAGAACTTTGTTTTTTGTCTGTAGAGGAACATTCCTCAATTGCCTTTCTATGCGTTCTACGCGACTTGCGATCTCGTCCAACACACTCTGAAACAGTAACTATTCATGATCTCCCTCGTATGGGTTGTTTGAAGAGTTTTACCCATTCAGGTTCATCTTCAATTCATCATAACTTTTTCAGAAATAATCTTTACAAGAGTGAAATAAACTGTATTACAATCTATAAATCCTAGGCAATTCTATGCATATTCAAGGGTTATCGCAACATTTACGAGAAGAAGTTTTTAGCCCGAAGTTCGCCAAACATCATTTTTTAAAATTCACTTTGAAAAACCATAACTTAACCAGGAAGCAGTGGCGAACCGAGGGGGGAGGCATATAGGTAAGTGGGGGGGGGGGGAGGGGGCATATAGGTAAGCTTTAAAAATTTCGCGACCCATTCTCGGGAGGGGCGCTCCCGAGAATGAATTGCGAAATTTTTAAAACTTACCTATATGTAACTACTCAGACAGTCGAAGGGATACCTCCGGCAGGCATAAGGCGCGAGTCTGCCACTTCGCGCGGGCCCTGCGATTTCACGCATTTTCGTGCTCCGGGGCTCTCCCAAAAGTGGCGCACCTCCGGAGCAGAGATTTGCGCGTCGCGGAGAGGGGTCCCATTCATTCACAGTGACGTCACGGTGACGTCACAAACAGGACGAATGGGACCCCTCTCCGCGACGCGCAAATCTCTGCTTCGGAGGTGCGCCACTTCTAGGAGAGCCTCGGAGCACAAAAATGCGTGAAGTGGCAGGGCTCCGGAGCACTAAGTGGCAATCCTTCGCTGGAGAAAGCCCGCGACCCTGCCACTTCTGCTCCGGAAGTATCCCATCGACTGTCTGAGTAATATAAAAATTGCGAACGACTTGTTTATTTTTGTAAATAATTAAGATATTTTTTAAAATTCTTCAAAAATTTAAATTAGCCTTATAAAAAAAATCTCGGAAAGGTAAGGGTGTAACACAAACTTTGCTCATTGTGTAACCATTAGTTGTCTGAGTAACTTAGCAACCTTAATATGGACTATGTTTGAAAAAAATCCTTACAAGGAACAAAAACATGTCCTCAATTTGCTCTCTCTCTAAAATGGCAAAAAATTGCCCTTTCGAATTTTTCAAATTCGTTTTTGCTGTTGAAATTTGATGAAATCACTTCAGACTTGTGCATGGATTGGACCAGGCCATTTCTTGATACATGGTGCAAAAGTTTCAAAATCGCGTTGCTCTTACAATTTGCGGCACATAAGGACTGCAGAAAACATGTACAGGGTGCGCCAGAATTATTTGCGCGTGTATTCTGCAACGCAAAACTCGTGCAAGACGAGATCAGCGATAGGCAAAAAGCTATTTTGTTTCAGTAAAGTTTTATCATTAAGAGCCTATAGCATGAGTTGGAGTTTCTGAGTGTGGCTTGAGAAAAATCAGAAAATATCTTACTGATTAAGTTGCGCGCAGCACGCAGGTAATTTTTCAGAGAATCTTCTGCTTTTTCATAGGAAAATGCTCCTGTGATGCAAGGAACACACCACATGAAAGAGCAAGATTTCGGCTGCAACATACTGTAAGCGCAAAATCTAGGATGGTCTGACAAGAAAATTATCGACATTTAAACAAAGTCATGTGTTTGCTACATTCTCAAAAACTGCACATTTTAGGGGTGCGAATGAGCGGGAAAAAAGCAGAAATTGACTCCAAATGAGGTTGGAGTTCAATTTCATCAGTGGAAAAGAAATGAATATTTATCTAGAAGCTTTGTGAAAGCACTATAGCATTGAATCCGGTGACAGGCACGTTTCTGTAGCTTACAAATGTGATTTGAAAACAAAACGGCCACTGACACGCAGGTGGCATTTGCATACTTTTTGTTGCCATTTTTGGAAGAATAATTGTTGGTGAACGCCAGTACCATGATTCGATGGCGCAAAGCCTCCTCTACACTGTGGACATAAAACCCCTTGAAAATGTTTCAAGAATCTCCAGTTACGGAATGAATTATGACTACCAAAAAATTAGGTTTTTGCGCCTTCTAGAAGTATAAGTACGACAATTTTATTATTTGCACAAAGGTATGTCAATCATCCTGGGCTCATAAAGCGTTGTTGTAGAGGATGATTGCAGCATTCTACCACATAAATTTTGAAATCAAAACTATGAGTAGTTTCTTTGCAGCACTCATGCAAAGTTGACGCAAATATTTTTGCACCCTGTAATGTTTATCTGAGAAACTTTAGGTTCAAATATTTTTCAAAATTAGGTCTTAATAAGCATCATATAACACAAATTCCAATAAAATAATACATATGTTTTCAAAAAATTTTTTCTTCGTGCGGAGATCATGGACTCAAAACAAAGAGATTGAATATGCATTTACATCGCTGTCTTTTTAAGTACGAATCCGCAGACTAAACAAAACTCTATCAAAGAGGGAGTTAAGTTGAAAAACCACAAACAAAGAACCTTCGGTTGATGTAAACAACCCTACTAGAAAAAAACATGAAAACTAGAATTTTTGAAAATCCAATTTTGTACTCTCACCATCAGCAAGAAATTGAAATTCTTCTCTTGCGGAGTAAGGTCTTTCATCTCCCTTTCTATGCGCTCGATTTGATTTGTCACCTCGTTCAGTGCACCCTAAAGCATGCAATAGCAAGGCAGGTTATGTCGGAATTCCATTTGCTAACAATAGGACTTTGTACCCCTTTTCTGGTAGAGCATCCTTCAGAAGTATCTCTAAGTGCTTTACCGCAATCCTGTCCGCCACTTTCTGGAAGTGTAAGATTAACAGATTCCTGCCGTTCCAAAGCAGTGCCTTTTGTTTTTGCTGATAAATTTTTTATCCAGAGTTATTTTTTCTTTCTTTCTTTCTTAATGATATCTTTAGGAATTTCTTTTTCCGGTAAAATAGCAATAAAGCCTAACTCTTCTCATTGACTCTCGCCGGTAATGCACTTCGTTCGCTCTTTTCAGCTGGCGCATCCTTCACTTCCACTTCGATGCGCTCCACTCGAATTGCGAAGCCGTCCATTACATTCTAGAATGCTAGTGATAGTAAGAGCATTCAGGGCAGTCTTGCTCCTACCATCGGCAAAGCTCTGTCTTTCCTTTCTTGCAAGGCATTCTCCTTTAAAATCCTTTCCATGTGATCAACCTGATTTTCATTGTCTCCCAGCACATTCTAAACGCTAAAATGTAAAGGCTACTGTATGACGAGGGCGCAGAAACGGTATCATTTGAGCGGGCGCGATAGCGGCCCGCGCGTGTCTTCACTATTATAAAACCTGCGTCTCATGCGCTCTGCGGCTAATAAAGCCACGTTTGCGCCTAAAGGTATTTCGCCTTTGGGTCTTCGCTTCCGGCGAATTGCACTTACCCTCGGTGTTTTGTTGACATCGGTACTCTTTAAAGAAGTGTTCCTCAAGTTCCTTTCGATGCGCTCCACTCGGCTTACAATCTCCTCGATAAAATCCATCACTGTAATCGACAACTATTTTAATCAAAAGCAGAAGTTTATTCTGAGTTTACAAGGCTAATTCGAATTAGACTAATACTATTACGACCCAGTTAAGCGTCACATTTTTGTCGTTTTAGCTGCAAGACGTTTTTTTTAGAAATCATGAGAATATTTTCCTGAAGGTTAGAATATCTACAAAAAGTGCATTGAAAGCCATGTATGAGATATTATGGAAGGGACTGACAATGTGGTAAGCGACGTATAGCGAAAAGCCTGACTCGTATATGGTTCCCTGCAGCATTTTTCGCTATTCACCTCATTGTAAACAAGAGTTGCAGCTCATTTTGAGCAATTGGAATTACCAGGCCACTACTTTCAAGTCTATTATGAGCAGTACAATTATATTGAAATGATAGTACTAATTCTACTATAGTTATAGTACTATTAGATTGTTACCTTAACTATAATATTACTTTATTATTACCCTCCTTGCTTTCCTAGTTCGCACTGTAGTGAAGTGAGCAAAAACGGTTGCGGTTGACTAGCTCCCGGAGCTTTACTTCATAATCGCAAAGCCAACTACAAAGGGCGGCTTATCTACAGACGACTCACCTGCGTTTGTTATGCGGTTTTATGAGTGTCTTTTTGGTTTTACAGTACAGCGATTTGAGGGCTGTAAAGGCAGGGAGGGAGGTGAGTTTCTGTTATGCGAAAGTAGCACAGCTTAACCGTTGCATATGCGCAGAGGCGTGAAGTAAAGTCGAAAGCAAAAATTGCTTTTAGATTTGCTATGAATTTTAAGTTCAGCTTGGCGGATAAACACAGTCTAGCTAATAATCGGGAAACGCATTCAGGCACAAGCTTTTTCGTAGAGCGCTCAACATGCAAAAGAGGCTAAAAAGTTTTTTCAAGCATTTGTTGCGGTCATGCATGAACGTTTTGATTGAGCAAGATTAAGCAGCTTACAATCTGTAGCTAATAAACGGAAACTGAAAAAGCTTTTCGGATACGTGTCAGACCTGCAAGAGTCCAGCGTTTCTGAATGGGGAGACTGATCATGACTCTGAGTGTGCTGCTATGTGAGATAGACGAAAGTGAGGCTTCGCCGAAATTATTTAAAGAGTTTTCACCTTTGAGTTTATGCTTACTTTGCTGCGGAGATGATTTGATTTCTAAGCGCACAAAAAACGGGCAAATCAAAAGTGGGCTCACAAATTCCGTGCAAGTTGTTGCATGTGGAAAGCCCATCAGAAAAAAAAGTTTGTGCTTGTCATTTGAGTTGACGCTCTTTTGAGGATTAGGGTGTTCTCTTCAAGAAATGCTTGTTTCATCAAAGCCGATTTACCCCTGCAACCAAGAGCTACGATGAAATACCCTCTGTTTCACGGGAGTTGGCGGCTGGAGGACGGGGATTCGGTCCATTAGAGAGCATGTACTTGAGGGAAAATTTGGAGCCTCCTCTTCCAAGCTCACGTGCTCTCTGAATGATCGAAGCCCTGTCCTACAGCCGCCCACTCCAGTGAAACAAAAGGTATTTTAAGGCTTCTTGAGTTGGATTGTTGCACATAAAAAACTATTTCTGGCCTTATGAGGCATTTTGCGTGCAGTCATTCCACTGGTGGATCAGTACATTGCTGGCCAAAACTATAGATCCACTCTGAAAACTGCCGCAGTTTATCTGCTTTTCAACGAATTGATCTGATTTGGTACAGCTGCGCGTTTAACAGGCTACTATCAGTAACCAAGACGGATCTCGCTTTCGTTTGATTATTCAGGAAAAAATCAAAAAATTCGAAAAAAGCAGGCTTGAAGGTTGGCCAAAACTATAGAGCTCAGACAATCAAAGGCTCTCAGCCGGCCCCACCAAAAGCGTCGTTGCCTTATCGCCGCCACTTTTCGCTTCCCGCTGAAAAACTTTGCTAGAATTGGCAGCGAGCGGGCTGCCATAAAGTCTTCAGCGCGAAGCGAAAGTGGCTGCCATGCCTTATCGCCGCCACATTCGCTTCGCGCTGAAGACTTTATGGCAGCCTGCTCGCTGCCAGTTCTAGCAAAGTTCTCAACGGGAAGCGAAAAGTGGCGGCGATAACACAACGACGCTTTTGGTGGGGCCGGCTGAGAGCCTTTGATTGTCTGAGAGATTCTCAGCTTCCAAAGCCTTTTGTGCATATACGTAGTCAAAAATCAAATATGTCGCTTTAGTTCAGCTGTGTCATACCTCTATAAAAAACGCTCATCTGCTTTTTTCACTTAAAAATATTTTCATGCGTATTTTGTTCCCGGGAATGTGTTTTTATTGAGGATTCCGCACTTTTTGACTGATTTGGAATCGATAGGAAACGCTATATAAGAAACGCTTATTTGCTTTTTTTTCACTTAAACCTTGTTTGGTTCCCGAGAATGTTTTAATAGAGAATTTTGCACTTTTTTGACTGATGTGGACGCGATAGGGCTCCATCTATCTTATAAATGCTTAGCGAATTGAGTGCTAAAAAAAAGCTTGAGTTTTCGTATTCAAAGCGCACCCGACATAGACCTCACAGCAAGCCTGCGCTCAAATTTTGCCTTCAAAATTGGTTTACGCTATTTTTGTAAGCTCAAATAATGTAGAAGCATTATTTACATAAAAAGAAGTTTGTAAATTATACTCGCGATTGTTCGCGAAGTCGCACATTTGTGGTCAGAACCACAAATGACTTCAAAGCTTGTTGCAAATCACTTTTGGCAGGATGAAGTCCTCAATGAGCCTGCTAGGATCTGCAGCAATTTGCAATCACTGTATACGGACTCTTATATATACTAACAGTGTCATCACCAGGGTCAAGCAAGAGGTGTGGCACACGATTGCTGGTCACGATCCCCCTCTTATTGCTGTCTCAATAAGACCCCTGAACTATATATATCTAATATAGCATTACTCAAAGGCCCTGTATCCATAATTAGCATGTCATTTAACCCTTTAGACAATGTTTGAGCGAATTCTAAAGTTTCAAGATGCTGGGTCACCTAAGTGAAATCGCCACTTTCCAGCATGATTAACTTTGTTTGAATAGTGAAGTAGCTAGCTGTTTTTGCACTCAAGACAAAGCACTGCTCCTTCTTCAACCACTTCAGAAATCTCGCAGCAAAAGACCTCCTAACTTTTGAATTAGAAGCCAACCAAAATTTTGTTTTTTCCTATTTTTCGCTTTCAATGGCTGTGCTTTCACCAAATATTACTCAGAGCTAAAAAGACGAATCAGGCTCAAATCAGTCCTATGAAATCTACGAGGTCTAGTCTATCGATTCATATAAATAACGTTCGCTAAAACTGTTTTTTGATATAGTTAATGGTTTGTGGCACCACATTAACTTACCTTCAAACAGATCAAATAGCTGCGTTTTTTATATCGTTGTAACTGCTTAACCTTCTTCTTTACACAGCAGAAATTTTATATGAAAAAGTTATTAAGAGCAAGATATAATCGTTTTCCTTTACCTATGCAAATGTAAAATACTGGTAAAATACTGCGAAAATATTGGGATACGGTAACATGCTAAGTCTGCGCTACTACGTGAATCGCAAGGGAAGGCGACGAAAATGTATATATTCGTTAGCCTAGGCCTCGTAATCTATATTAAAGTAATTTGAGCCTGATTGGTCTTCTTTAGCCTGAGATATTAAAGACGAAAAATGGAACAAATAATTTTGACTCTTAATTCCCTAATTTGGAGGTCATTTGAAGTAGGATTCCTAATGTGAGCAAAGAAATAGTAGTTCTTTGTATTAATGCAAAAAGAAGTAGTCAACTTACCTTTGAAACAAAGTAACATGTTTAAAAACGACCATCTCATTTAGGTGGCCCTCAGTGGTGGTCCGAGAAATTTTTTTCGGGGGGGGGGCGACAAAAATTTTTTTCTAAAGAAGGTGCGTGGCGTTAGCCACGCACTCCAAAAAAATTTTTGGGGTGCTTCTAAAAATTTTTGCGGGTCCCCGACCCCTAAAGTCTGAAAAAAGGGGGCGTGGCGTCAGCCACGCCCCCGAAAAATTTTTTTTTATAAGGCTAAAATGAACTTTTAAAAAATTTTAAAAATAATTTTAATTATTTTCAAGTGCAAACAAGTCGTTTGTACATTTTTACAACCCATATAGGTGAGTTTCAAAAATTTCGCGACTCATTCTCGGGGGAGGCGCGCGCCCCCCCCCCCTCCCGCCCCCCCCCTCGGTCCGCCACTGGTGGCCCTGTATTTGGAAACCTCAGAATTCGTTGAAACTTGGACCACAGGAGTTATTTTACTTGCTAATTACAAAACGATGCTCTTATGCTTTATAGATCTTTGATTATGCTTACTGTACGTATAGATAATGGGTCAAACATCAATGTGCTAGTATTTTGCATGACGGGTCTCTTTGACATTGTTAACGAATATCATGTATGCGAATAGCAGACGCTTTGATAACCCCCCCCCCCCCGTCCTGATTCCTCAATACGATCCCCCAGGTGTGGCATGCCACACCCTACGCTTGACCCTGGTCATCACTCCAGTTCATGCTCATGACAACATTGTAAAAAGTTTCAAGGCATAAATCAACGCAGGCCTGCAGTTAGGTCTGTGTCGGGTATTGTATACGAAAACTCGAATTTTTTTTTCACAGCTCCCATCGTTGAGCATATATAAGGTAGACGGAGCCCTATCGATTCCAAATCAGTCAAAAAGTGCGGAATCCTCAATAAAAACACATTCTCGGGAACAAAATACGCATGAAAATATTTTTAAGTGAAAAAAGCAGATGAGCGTTTTTTATAGAGGTATGACACAAATGGACTAGAGCGACTGCTTTGACTTTCGACTATGTATATGCACAAAAGACTTTGAAGCTGAGAATTACTTTAGTGGACAGAAACCTCAGGTGGATCTATAGTTTTGGCCAACCTTCAAGCCTGATTTTTTCGAAATTTTTGATTTTTCCTTCAACAATCAAACGAAAACGGGACCCGTTGTTACTGATGGTAGCCTTTTGAACACAGAGCTTGACCAAA